TATAATCGTACTTTAACCACGTTATATCCATTGCCTACGACGCTTTTTCGTTAAATACAGAGTTCATCAGGCTGGCTGGGAAACAACAAACACAATAATGGTCAGAAAACTATTTGGCCAGAATAATTTATTATAAGCTCAACAGATAGAACCTGAACTAAACAATGTGAAGTACAAGTTGGACCAGACATAACAGAGCAAGAAAATAAATTAAATTCCAACTAGAACCATGATGTCAGTCCGAGCGTTCGTCTGTCTCCCGTTTGAAAAGCTGCGCACGGAAGCAAAGCTCAACATTCACTTTTAAAATGACGGGAACACAGGCATGAATACTGTTGATGTCAAACTATATTTCGCAAGCAGAATATTCTACACTAAATTTTTGGGAATTAATCACATTACCATTCATATTTCAAAATGTAACATAACTTAAAGAATAAAAATGTAGATTTACCGTATGTTATTGTTGAGTGGCCCATAGCGTGACTGAAATTTCAACAATTACTTTCCATGGTTTAAGTAGCTCAGACTTTTGGCTCCCGGTGAAACCAATATTGTAACACAATTAACCTTTCTAAAGTTCATGAAATAATTTAAATTGATAGATTAACTTAAAATTCCCTTCACTGGGGACTGGTACTTTTGCTTGTATATATATATGTCAATAAGAGTTATGTCTTCTCTTGTAGAACAAGAGCATTTATTTCCAGCTGTGTAGTTGCTTGGTTTACAGATAGACATATGTTTAATGAATTTATAAAGTAGAATATATTGAATAATAACATATAAGTAGAATGTTATTCTTGTGGTTTTTCTAACTTTTTTATTTTACCAAATAGAACATTGGAGGTCAGTTAAGACTAAAGCTAGCATGGCAAATGTACTGGGAGAAATGTGATACAACCAGAAGATGCAAACCCTGTGGAGCAGATCTACAGAAATATGTCCTACTTAAGAAAAAATAAAGATTGTAAAAAAACACTAAGTCAATAAAATATTTATATTTTTGATATTAGTTTTTCATGTCATTTGTTCCTAAAAGTAAGGTCAGTTAAATAATTAGGACTAATCAAAATAAACTATATATACTTTATTTAATTTTTAATAAATGTTATAGTTTGGTTTAATAAATTTGAATTGAGAATACTGTAATGTATAGGGTATTGTACGTAATACATTGATATATTTGGAAAATAACTGACAAGCCAAGAACTTGTGACTTATTTGTTTAATATATCATCTATAACGTAACCCAATCAATTTATATTTTCTAAGTTTTAAAACTGTTCCTCTCTATAATAATGATAATTAAAGAGCAAAACTTTTATAAATCAAAAATGCCCATTTTAAATTAAATATGCTTTCAACTGAAACTTGACTTAAAAGGTTCAACTAATTTCAAATTAATTAATATTAGGAATTAAGTTCAGTGAAAAAAGTATGGAAACAAATTATAAATACAAAACACCTGCATACGCTATATATTAAACTGGTAATCAAAGTTTCTGGTGAAAAATATAATGACAGAAATAGTCATGATTTTCACTTTTCCATAACTTTATAGAATATCTTTTGTTTAAATGTACCGAGGGTTGAGTACATTACATCAAAACGTCTTCTTACAGGCGAGAATATACGAACATAAAAGTCAGTGAAATTAGCTGTCCACGTGCCCCAGGCAACAATATGCAATATAATCAAGAAATATATCCATTTGGAAAAGCAACATAGGTCACGTGTACACAAGTTTCTTCCACGACACATCCGTTCAGTCATCGCATACCTCAAACAGCTGAAAATGAAAGGGGTGTTCATGCTGTTCTGTACGAAAACATACATATTAAGTCGCTGGTTGCAGCGTCTATAAATTTCTGTATGATCAGATTGTTGAAACTGGCGCTGCAAATTTGTCGTCTTCTAACATTAGATGTATTATGGAAAGACACAGGGAGGAAGCGTTGTGTTTGGACATGACAGCCTTACGACGGCAATAGAAACTATACTCCAGGGCTATTTTCAAGGTGCACGGTCATCAGACAGAGCGTGACAGGACGTAGCAACATTGACTGTAACAACGTGCTGAGGCTCCAAAACTTTTTTAACATAACGTCCTCAACCTCTGTATTCGCTTAATTTTTTTTCTAAATTTCTGTGCAATTTCTACATGTAGTTTTGACATTCTCTTTGACGGGAAGTCCCAAGGTCATAAATGCATGCTAAGCATTTTATATAGGTAGCAACTACTTACCTTTGTTCTTAAGTCTCAAGCTAGCGTGTATGTGTTTCTGTAAATGTTTCTCAGAAGGCACCTGTTCAAAAAAAGTTAATACAAAAACCTGAACAATTTGCTTGACTTAAAATTGCGTGTAAACCATTGTTTAAAGTACGAAACTTGTGGAATTTTAGGATACTGAAATTTCTTTGTTTCTCCTAGATTATTTAAGTCAGGTATTTCAAGAATTCTCTCTCTTGATGTTTGTTTGTTTGTTTTTGTTGTTTTTTTTTTTGCTCTTGATTTCTATCTCTTCAACCCCAGCACGACAAACAACACAGAGAGCTGTAATTGTTTTATACATTTCAAGATGAACTCGTATTTGTTTGATTTCCTCTATCAATGTTTAATTTATTCTCCGCTTAACAGATCTGGGCCAGCGTTTTGCGGGTACTTTTAAATTTTATCTTTAGGACATCGATGTTCTTGAATACAACAAAAAAGTAAACAATAGGAGACGTGCTTAGAGTTATTTCTGAACATTAAATAGCCCTAAAATAATTTGTTTTGGTTGTTTGATGTTAAGCACAAAGCTACAAAATGATATCTCTATGCTGTGCCCATCGCGAGTATCGAAACCCGATTTTTATCGCTGAACCACCAAGGGGCAATGTTTAGGTTATAAAAAGAAAACCAATTCGAAAATGATTTAGTTTTACCATGAGATGTAACTTTTACATTTATTCAAATACTACTTTACAGTCCGTATTACTGACTGCGTCTTCACAAATGACATGTCTGGTCAAAGGATGTTTAATTTGCCATGGCCTGATTTCATCTTATACTTTATGGAAAGGGCTGAAATCTAAGCTTTTTCTGTCTTTTCTTTCTTTCTTTTTCATATTTCGTATATTTACATTAGTATTTACTTGATACATATTTTTCAAACGTTTTGATTATATGTTTCTTTGTTGAGCTTTCTCAAGTCTTTTATATATATATATATATATATAAATAAATTATTTAGGTAAATTAAGAAAACAAAAGTGTGATACTTGAGAAATGTGTAAAGTTAAAATAAACGGAGTTTCATTCTATGCTTTAAAATAATCTTGAATGAGGCATAAACATCAGAAAACAATATCGAAGAGACACGAAACAAACTGGAAAATAGGTACATCAAAATAACATTACATAAACATCAAATAAATCGAAATCCAAAAGGGGAAAGAATTTTTTTTTTTTAGTTTTCAGCTTGTTCCCTTTTGGAAAATCGAGCCTTTTAATCAATATAATGTCTATTATTTGTGTATATGTTCCAAGAATTGGTCGTAACATCTAATAGTTTGTAATATTATATTGAAATCTAGGATAGAAAGTGTCATGACTTGTATTTTTTCTGTGTGTGTTTCTTGTTACGATTTATTTACACAATATGTTTAATTCAATCCTGTTTATATGGATATTGTCCTATAATTTACTAACAGAAGTGAAGAAATACAGAGTTTGTTTTTCTAACCAATGGGTTTTACCCAAGCCCCGCAGTTGGAGTATTGTGTTCACTATTCTGGGTATGTGTGTGTGAACACTTTAACTCGAAATGTTTTATCTGATTTTGATGAAATTTAGTACAAAAGTTAAGTTCTCTCTCAAACATCAATTGATTAACTTTTGGTAAATAGAGCACAAGGGTCAAGGTCACACTGAAGGTCAGCCACTGTCGTTATAATGGTAGCAAATTGGGATTTCGATAGACAGTCAAAGCTCGAGAACAAATTGAGAGGGGAAAAAAAAAGAGGATTTGGCACCTAGACCTGCATTTCTTAGGGCGAAACGTTTTATGGTTTTATTTCAAATGAAGCTATTAGGAGATGTATCAGTTGCTTGACTTTGTGTGACTATTTTTTTTATTTGCTCTAAATGTTATGTCTCATTGGTTCAAAATATATTCTGGAACTCGTCTTTCCATACACTGTCAGCTGCATTATCCATTTGACACAAGATTAATATTTGACGTTATTCGTTCAGTCACAAATAACGCTTTTCGTACTCTTATAATGTAATATACAAATAAGAATATAAACATTATTTTAAGATCTACTCTTGCTGAGAATGATGTAGTGGAGACAGTTTCGAGAACGACTCTAACGTAATTAACAAAATAAACACCAATACCATTAAACATTCGTTAACAACTCTAGCGAATATATTTAACGTGAATTTGCGTAATTAGAGATGCAGCATTACTGTAGTAAGAGTGTAATATAATTTTAAAGTTAACTATCCCTCCTAAAGAATAGATAGTTCTTAAAAGATCAGTATTCTAGTATTACGATTTATGTTCTTCTGCATGACACCTCTTGACAATAACTGTCTTATTTATGTGCCAGTTTTTAAACACAAACGACGTTCATAGCTTTTCGCTAACGATCAACTCGCCTATAAACAGATGAGCTTAATAAAAAACAAACAAAATCAAATTACACTGGATAACATTGTACATAATTTCAACATTTTCTAGTAGCGCACGTAGATATTTCCCTATTGACACTGTGACCTTTAACCAGTCATCCTGAAATGAAATCAGCGTGAATTTAATTAAAGCAAACAACAGGTTCTTTTAGATCATCGCCGGTTGGCTTCAACCGTTTTCCTTTTTTTTTTTTTTTTGTTATTGCTGATGTAACGAAGACCGGCTTTGGGGAGAGGGGGAGAAATGCGAAACTCCCAACTCAGCCAAGACTATACATAGCTGGTAAGGTGAATGCCAACCTCATTCATCAACACACACATTTATCTATGTAACTGTCGAACTCAGAGAAGGGTTTGCCACCACGAAGCACTTGGGTTTTCCGCACGACCCCGGCGTTGTTGTGGTTGCCGCCGCTTGTTAACCGTCCTCGGTTAAACAAAACACTTCTTAGGGTTTAAGTCCGTATTTGATTGATCATAGTTTCCGCTGGAAAATAACATCTTGTTTATCTGAAACTGGCATTCTTCCAAACCTAAGCCACTTAATATCTCAACCTACGGTTTAGATTGGGAAGTTTCGCGTGACACGAGTAGTATCATCAGTCTTAACCAAGTGCTCTGGGTGAATGGATGCTGCTGAAGAAAATGAGCTTCTTGCCGAAGCAGTAACACCGGAGAGCGGAGATGTCTTAAACAAAGATGAGCAATCCAACAATGGAGATCCTGTTCCTGTCGATGTCTTAAACAAAGATGAGCAATCCAACAATGGAGATCCTGTTCCTGTCGATGTCTTAAACAAAGATGAGCAATCCAACAATGGGGATCCTGTTCCTGTCGATATCTTAAACAAAGATGAGCAATCCAACAATGGAGATCCTGTTCCTGTCGATGTCTTAAACAAAGATGAGCAATCCAACAATGGGGATCCTGTTCCTGTCGTTGAGTCCGCCGGCCAAGCCCAGGAGGATGTACATACAGCACACATTGTGGTATTTGGAAAAGATGGAACTGGAAAATCTGGTAAATCAAATGGATTATTGCTCTTTTTTTTATTTGAATTTAAAATGTTTCTCTGTACACTATTCCGTAGTCAATAATACCTGTCCATTATAAGACCAAATATGAGTAGAAGTAGAAAGTACACGTAGTGCTGTATTGTAACTTATTTGGATTCCGATATTCCTTTTGAGTTGGTAAAAGAAATATAGGTAATATAAGTAAACGTAGTGCTCTAATGTAACTCTTTTGGATTCCAATATTCCTCTTGAGTTGGTAAAAGGAATATAGGTAATATAAGTAAACGTAGTGCTCTATTGTAACTCTCTTGAGTTGGTAAAAGAAATATAGGTAATATAAGTAAACCTAGTGCTCTATTATAACTCTTTTGAATTCCAATATTGCTCTTGAGTTGGTAAAGGGAAGACAGGTAATATAAGTAAACAAAGATCTCTATTGTAGCTCTTTAGATTCCAGTATTCTGTTTGAGGAGGTAGAAGGATCTGGCCATAGGCAATAAAACTCTAAAAGATGTGTATCCTGCATCGTCATGTCAAAAACTTACTCATGTTGTTCACGTAGTGCGAAGTTCTAGAAACACGTGTAATATTTCGCTTACTTTGTGGAAGTGAACATAAACTGTGGAAACTATGTAACATTTATTCTATATCTTCAGTTGAAAACTAGATGGTATACTCGGAGATATCTAGGGGAACTTCTTATTCAACTTTTTATAAGGTAGTTTTGATGGCATATGTTCCTTGTCTATGATATGAATTCCCTTTTTAAATTCTAAGCTATTAGAATCTGATGTATGTTATAAACTCGTACTGTATATCGGAAAACATACATGTATATTTACTAGCTGGAGTACAAGAGTACGTGATTAATGAAAAGTTATCTTAGGACATGAAAGGTGGCTTCTCTTATAGAAAATTATGCCCACCAGTGGCACAGAGGTATGTCTGCGGACTTACAACGCTAGAATCCGGGTTTAGATACCCGTGGTGGACAGAGCACAGATAGCCCATTGTGTAGCTTTGTGCTTAATTACAAACAAACAAATTATAACAAATATATATAATTGTAAAAAATAATCGCCCATAAAAACTACAAAACACAAAATGTGATACCGCAAGTTTCCATGTATCTCCGCATGGACCCAACAAACCTCCATGCTAAATTTGGTGAAGATTCATCAAAAGGGGGCGAAGTAGTGGTAAAAAACGCAAAAATAGCTATAAAAACCGCAAAACGCAAAATTCTAAGCTGAAAATTTGTATGTAGCCCCGCATGGACCTAATGAACCTCCATACCAGTTTTGGTGAAGATCCGTGCACACCCTGCGAAATAGTTACATGGACGTACAACATATAATAGAAACTACTATAATATATATATATATATATATATTCTTATGATTCTGGAGTTCATGGACGTACAACATATAACAGACACTACTATAATATGTATATATATATATATATTCTTATGATTCTGGAGTTCATGGACGTACAACATATAACAGACACTACTATAATATGTATATATATATATATATTCTTATGATTCTGGAGTTCATGGACGTACAACATATAACAGACACTACTGTAATATATATATATATATTCTTATGATTCTGGAGTTTTCTTACATTGCTCGTGTTGAACTCCCTTTCTATTGCCCATCTTGATAGTTTTAAATCTTATTTCTTCACTTTCCTTACGTCTGTAATACGTGTACATTGCTAGGCGACCTATTTTAAGGCTTCTCTGTTTGTTCTACAACTTATATTTCAGATTTACTGCGTTTTGAATTTTTTCAGATTCTTTTTAATTTTCTATTGTTTTTAGTACCGACATCTATTTCTGGGTTACATGGTTCTAAAAACATGTAAAAAAACATTTTTCAGTAAATTTATTGAACAAATCTTGTACTTCTCTTAATGCCAGCATCAAGCATTCAAAAGCACTAAGAACAAATCGTGTATTTACACAACACTTGCCGGTATTAGACGTTAAAGTGTTCCTGTAACAACTGTAGAACAAATCGTGTATTTACACGACACTTTCCGATATCAGACGTTAAAGTGTTCCCTGAATAAATATAGAACAAATCTTATGTATACAAACTCCCTGTCGGTATTAGACGTTAAAGTGTTCCCTGAACAACTATAGAACAACTTATGTATACACACTTCTAACAGGTATTAGACGTTAAAGTATTCCCTGAACAACTATAGAATAACTCTTATGTATACACACTCCCAGCCGTGTATATATATATATATATATGACTCCTGATGATATAGAACGTTAAAGTGTTCTCTGAACAATCATAAAGGCCCGGCATGGCCAGGTGGTTAGGGTATCCGACTCGCAATCTGAGGGTCGCGGGTTCGAATCCCCATCACACCAAACATGCTCGTCCTTTCAGCCGTGGGGGCGTTATAATGTAACGGTCAATCCTACTATTCGTTGGTAAAAGAGTAGCCCAAGAGTTGGCGGTGGGTGGTGATGACTAGCTGCCTTCCCTCTAGTCTTACACTGCTAAATTAGGGACGGCTAGCGCAGATAGCCCTCGTGTAGCTTTGCGCGAAATTCAAAACAAACAAACAACCATACAACAAATCCTGTACATACATATTAACCGCTGTTGTTACAAATCTTGTATATTCATAATCCATGCTGGTATTAGACGATACAATGTTCTCTGAACATTCATATATGTTCACTTCCTGTGTTCTCAACTTCCTTTTCTCTTGTATGGAGATGACGGAAGGAAGCTGTACAGCAATGAAACTGGGTTTTCAACTTTCGTGTGTCTAATGTAGAAATGGCAGGAGAAAGGTGTCAATACCTACAGTTAGAATCTCAACTTATATGTCTCTTACATGGAGAAGATGGAGAGATGTTACTAGTGTCACCTGATCTTGATGTCACTTGAGTCGTCAACTTCTGTGTCTCTTACATGGAGAAGGTGGAGAGAGGAAGTCACTAGTATTACCTGGTCTTAATGTCACTTGAGTCGTAAACTTACGTGTCTCTTACATGGAGAAGGTGGAGAGAAGATGTCGCTAGTGTCACCTGGGCCTGATGCCACTTCAGTCATCAACTTACGTGTGTCTTACATGGAGAAGGTGGAGGGAAGATGTCGCTAGTGTTACCTGGTCTTAATGTCACTTGAGTCGTAAACTTACGTGTCTCTTACATGGAGAAGGTGGAGAGAAGATGTCGCTAGTGTCACCTGGGCCTGATGCCACTTCAGTCATCAACTTACGTGTGTCTTACATGGAGAAGGTGGAGAGATGTCGCTAGTGTCACCTGGGCCTGATGCCACTTCAGTCATCAACTTACGTGTGTCTTACATATGATGGAGAAATTGAACAATGAAATGGATATTATGATAAGAACGAAATCAATAGCATTTGATTTACGATGCTAAAACCGAACACTTGGGATAAGATATTAAATTGTTTGTTTTAGAACAAACCCACATTGGTCTATCTTATGTGTTTACCGCAGGGAATTAAGCCCCGGATTTTAGCGTTGTAAGACCGTAACCTTACTGCTGTCCCGCGGGGGGATAAGATATTAAAACAAACATCATACAAATCACAAAAGCTACTGCAGTCACACACAACTCTACAAGAAAAAAAAAGGATGACAGATTTAATAATTTACATCATACACGAAGTGTTTTTCTTTGTGGGTTTTTATTTTCCTATATTGACCACATTAAAGGAGTGAAAATGGCCTTTTCTGTAAGTTGTAATGAACTTCACTCAATAACTCTTTACTGGAATTGGTTATAGTTGTTCAAATTTCGAGAGTTTCATCAGTAACTTTTGCTTTTATTAAAGTTTGATTTGAGGTACATATATCGCTCCTTTATTGTATTATTTCTATGTTAATTTTGCTAATAGCAATCGAATTGGTTTCATTGATGTGACCGAACCCTTTATCTTAGTAATCTAGCTCACAGATTAAGAAGACTGAAACATTACATTCCCCCGCCCCGTGTCCCGAGGGTAATCTTGATAATTCATAGTGCTAAAATTGGGGCTAGATCCCTGCGCTGAGTCCATTGCAGATAGATACTTTCGATCATAAAAGAGTAGTTCAAGAGTTGGTGGTGGTTGCTGTTGGCAAGCTGTCTTCCCTCTAGTCCATCAGCTCAAAATTATGAACTCCTGTTTGTAGCCTTGCACAAAAATCCGAAACAAACAAACAAATCTGTGAAAGGAAGGTACGCTGAATAAAACATTTTGAAGTCCTCATGAAAAAAACTTTCAAAATAATGAAACATCAGAGAATATCATATAAAGTAATTTGGTGTTTTTCTAGGATTATAATTCGTGTGTTTCCATTTGTTTCTGATAGGTGGTAAATTGGTGAACATAAAATCTCGAAACAGACTCGAACTATTATTTTTTATTTAATTAGGTGTTACAAAGAACATAACGCGTTGGTTCTGTCCTGTGAGAATATTGTAGGTGGCGCTTATACAGAAAACCAAATGTGTCAGATATTAAAGATTGTTGATTCAGTATACCATACAGGTTTGTTATGGAATGATAAAGTACACTGGGCGTCTAAAGTAAACTAAACTGAGGGAGGTACTAAAATTAATGTTTCTCTGTGAATTATTTAACATATGGTAGCTATTAACATGTAAATATTTGAAGTTTTGCTGCATAACGATATGTATAAGAGAGACACGTTGAAGGTTTCTTTTACGTACGAATCTTTATTTCCTGTGCACACGCTACAGAGTTACGTCACTTCTAAGTATACAAAACATTATGTTGAAACTATGAATCGGTGTTTCTATGCCAATATTTGGGCCACGTGTGTGAGAAAGGACATTAAAAATATACACATTCCTTTGATTTAAGTGACAAGCCTCTCATAAATCTCTCAGATCTTCTTCATACAGAAAATTTATTCCAGCAGAAAAGGATAAAGTCCCTCAATCACCTAACTGAAAACAAATAAAGAATATCGAAGAGAAATATTCTCCAA